CAACCGGATCATCCTGCGGCATTACTGACCAGCGGGCAAGCTGAGAGACCTAGGTATGGAAAAAAAAGAGGTCAGCGTAGATGTTAGTTTCCTCCGTTTTTTCCTCTGGAATGCATGGTTGGCACAGGAATATTTCCTCCGTTTTTCCTACGATCGATTCCTGCGATCCAAAAGGGTAAACAGTGCCCAATTCCTTAGGATCTCCAATCCTATGACGTTTCACCCTCAATCCAAAGGAGCCCTTGTTTTTTTTTTTCAAGTGTAGTAAGTGGGCTGTGGAGCCCGACTCCGAGTCCTGCACGGGCTTGATATTTGTGGGTTGGGGGAGTGGGCTCCAATGCTGCAGATATTGGGCTGGATCGGGTCTGTTAGATTCAAATCGTGATAGGGGAAAGTACATTTTTTTAAAAAAATAACTAGATAACTTGCAGCACGTAGATTTATTCAAAAGTGTTTCAATTCATCTAAAATTGTACTCTATACCATATATGGATGTACACTGCTCTAATTCATATGGACATGAGAGGCTTATAGATTTATCCAACTATCATTCATACTCACTCCATCCCAAATTGTAAGTCATTCCAAGAATCTTGGAGAGTCAAACTTTTTCAAGTTTGACTAAAATTATAGAGAGAAACACAAAGATTGATGACATCAAATAGGTATAATATGAAAATATAACTAATGAAGAATCTAATGATACTTACTTGGTATGATAAATATTATTATTTTGTTATATAAATTTGGTCAAACTTGAAAAACTTTGACTTTTCAAGATTCTTGGAATGACTTACAATTTGGGATGGAGGGAGTACGTTCCAATTTGTATTTCAAATCGGACTCTGCATCGTGTCTGGACAAACTAAGTCAAGCTTCTCTAATTTGGATCAGTTCTATAAAAAAAATGGTACTTCACTAAATATCAAGATTTTTCTATGGCACCTATTTAGAGGCCGGAGTAGTGTTAGTCAAGGACAATCTGGCCAAGTGAACTGAAAAAGGTAATTTGGTGTAGTATATAATAGTTGACGTTTTTTTTTGCATATTATTCATGTTTTTTTGTATTTTGTAGTGTTACATAGACAACCATGCCTAGCACAATTGGAGGCTCCAGTGAAACTCAAGGGACCGTTGCAATTTCGAATAGTGATGTTTTATTTTCTTTTTATGAGAAATTTCAATTTTTAGGGATTAGTGGATTAATTCTTTATTTAGGTCCTATTTGGTAGGATTCCGACTCCTCTTAAAAGGGCTCCAGTTTTTGGCTCCTCGTGTAGAGCAGCTTTTTTGGTGGAGCTGAAGCCGTCTGGAAAACGTTTGTCTAAAATAGCTCCAGTGGCAGTTTTATATTAATTTGTATTAAGTTTGTGAGGAGAGGCTAGGACAAGACACTTTTTTTTCTCTAGCTCCTCTTGGCTCCTTACGAAGAGTCTTTTTTTTGTGTGCGTTTGGCAGAACCACGAGACCTCGAAGCTAGAGCCTTGCAAAATAAGGCCTATAGGAGGACTGTTCTTTCGGTGTTACCATTGGATTATTGATATTTGGCTTTGTTGAAACCTAAAGCACTATGTTATATTTGTTATTGATTTTTTTATTTGATCTAAACTGTTAAATCATCATACATCTAAAGGTGTATATTTTTTAAAGTTTTTTTAAGAGTAAATTTCACTGGCGGTCCTCAAACTTGTCATGAGTTCTCATCTAGGTCTCGGTACTTTTAAATTGCATATTTAGCTCAGTAAACTCGTTTTGAGTTCTCATCCAGGTCCCGGTACTTTTAAAGTATGCATTTACCTCCTTAAACTTGTCTCAAGTTCTCATCCAGGTCCTAAATTATGCATTTAGGTCCCTAAACTAATCCCAAATTGTCATCCTAGTACTAGAAAATACACGCCCAACTCCCTCCCTTCCCCAATTTAATGCTGCTATATATAGATCTCCTGTTGCCTTTCCAAACCCTATTCGCTTGGCTGATAAGCCATGGCTGAAAGTACTGTTGGCTGATTTGATATGAGAGAAAAATATTATTCGTTGGCTGAAAAAGTACGGCTTATAAGCTAAGCAAACAGGACTAAAAGATGAAGATGTGGACTGCAAAAATCGCAGAAACAGTTTGTGCCCCCAGCTTGATGCCAGAGCCGTGATTCTCAGCTCGTTCGGCTGGGGCTGGCCAGCTCCCTCACAAAAACACTGTTTATCTAAATCAGCCAGCAATACTTCTCTCTCATATAAACGAACCAGCAATGATACGAACCAGCCAACCGAACAGGCTGTCGGTGGCCTGCACACATGGAAATAAAAATGTTCCAGCTATTTACCGTAAGTAACCAAGCCAGTTGCCTGCTCACTCTGTGAATGGACATGCATACAGCCTGTGTGAATAGTAAAACATTGATGTCAATTTCGCATTCTACGCTATCTTGATTAATGGTTTGCGCGTGCTTCGATTCCCGTGCAGATTAGTTTAGAGCTCCGATGTCATTTGTGTTTGCTGCTGCTAAAACATCGGAGGAAGAGTCAGCGATGAACGGAACGGAGAGCATTCATATCCTCTGCGGTGATTAGCATAATGCAGATTGCAGAACGGGAATCGTGCTGCCCAGCATGAGCATGCAGCGCTCCAAAATTCGAGCGATTTCATATTCACCTCTCCCTCGAAGTTCCCGCGCGCCCCGCTGACTTCCACTGCACACAAACGTGCCAACTGAAACAGAACGTTCCTGCCTGCTAGCTAGCTCGTCGGCAGGCCAATGCAAAACCCTCTCTATGCTCTCCCTAGCCCCTAGCCCCTATACATCCACGAGATCGCCATCACACGCAGCTCCCAGCGATCCAGAGAGAAGCACGTGCACGGTGCACCTCTGCCGCTGCATCTGAAGGTCCTAAAGGAACTAGCATAGCCATGGCCGGTGCCGGCGGCGGGCGGCTGCGTGCCAGCAGCGCCAAGAAGCAGCAGCGGCAGCGGACGCTGAACAACATCAAGATCACGCTCCTGTGCGGCTTCATCACGGTGCTGGTCCTCCGCGGCACCGCCGGCTTCAACCTCCTGGTCAGCAGCGGCGACCTCGACGGCGCGGCGGCGGACGCCAAGGTCGTCGAGGACGTGGAGCGCATCCTGGCCGAGATCCGCTCCGACTCCGAGGCGGACGACGTCGTGTTCGTGGTCGAGGACGGCTCGTCGTCGACGCCGTCGCCGCGCAACGCGACGGCGGCGAGCTTCGGCAACTTCTCGGCGTCGGCGACGGTGGTGAAGGTGCGGGAGTACAGCCTGGGTCCCAAGGTGAAGGACTGGGACGCGCAGCGGCGGGAGTGGATGTCCCGGCACCCGGAGTTCCCGTCCGTCGACCCGCGGCGCGGGGGACAGCGGCGTGTCCTGCTCGTCACCGGGTCGCCTCCGGGCCCCTGCGACAACCCCGTCGGCGACCACTACCTGCTCAAGGCGACCAAGAACAAGATCGACTACTGCCGGCTCCACGGCATCGACGTGGTGCACAACATGGCGCACCTGGACCCGGAGCTGACGGGGTACTGGTCCAAGCTGCCGCTGGTGCGGCGCCTCATGCTGGCGCACCCGGAGGTGGAGTGGATTTGGTGGGTGGACAGCGACGCCATCTTCACGGACATGGCGTTCGAGCTCCCGCTGTCCCGCTACGACGGCGCCAACCTCGTCATCCACGGGTACCCGGACCTGCTGTTCGAGAAGCGGTCGTGGATCGCGCTCAACGCCGGCATCTTCCTGCTCCGCAACTGCCAGTGGTCGCTGGACCTGCTGGACGCCTGGGTGCCCATGGGTCCCCGGGGACCGTCACGCGTCGAGGCCGGGAAGCTGCTCACGGCCAGCCTCACGGGCCGGCCGCCGTTCGACGCCGACGACCAGTCGGCGCTCATCCACCTGCTGCTGGTGCAGAAGGAGCGGTGGATGGACAAGGTGCACGTGGAGACGGAGTTCTACCTCCATGGCTTCTGGACGGGGCTGGTGGACAGGTACGAGCAGATGATGGAGGATCACCACCCGGGCCTCGGCGACGACCGCTGGCCCTTCATCACCCACTTCGTCGGGTGCAAGACCTGCGGCAGGTACGAGGACTACCCGCTGGACCGCTGCATCCGGGGCATGGAGCGCGCCTTCAACTTCGCCGACAACCAGGTGCTCAGGCTCTACGGATTCCAGCACCGCTCGCTCACCACCGCCAAGGTCAGGAGGGTCACCGACCCAGCCACCAACCCGCTCCAGGCAAAGGAAGCGGCGCTCAAGATGGACGCCAAGTTCTCGAGCACCTAGAAGAGATAGCCCAAGAATGAATGCCTTGGAGGAGACACAGTCATTATACGTACGAGTTTTGATCAGTTTGCGTTTTGATTTGTCTTAGCTTTCTGTTTTGCAAAAGCTAGCCCACTCAACAGAAACATTGCTGTTATATGTCTGATGCTTTCAGTTGAATTCAGAGAAAAATGAAACAGGGCACAAGAGTAGTATGATTCAAACAATGTGACTGTGATTTGTGAGAGTAATACACCACCATTCTTCGGATTAGCATTGTTTAAGTTGTTTTCTACTAAAACGCAGAGAGATCAGATGTCAGTGAGCTAGTGTGCCTACAGAATTGGAATGCTATTCTTTTCGTCTGTATGCGATTCTTTTCGGCAACCAGGTGCAACATATCGTGTATGGAAATTCTGACCAATTAGTACTTAACAGTGATATTTCAGACCATATGATGCCCTCTGAATATCTTTGGTATTCCATTTGAAAAAATAAATGTGCTCCACTGCTTAAATTATTTCAAGTTTAGTAGTAGAAAATTTATGGCACTGATGCAGCAGTGTACCATACTCTTTCTGCAAAAGATTATGAACATGCAATGTTTTGAATCATAGCCTCTTGAAATGTTTCATTTCTCATGAACCAGCAAGCAACGGCAATTCACTTGCTGTATATACGAACAACCAAAACACCAAAAAAAAAAAAAAAAAAAGAGAAAGAAAATGAAGACTTTTCAAAACTTGGATCGCCATCCCAGTCTCCTCAGGATTCTTGCAAGAACAGAATCTTCCTTTCCTTTGGGCTTCCGATTCTTGCGCACATCACTAATCCATGGATCCGGCTCATTGGGTTTCTTCAAGAAAGCGAGAGCCTCCTCCTTGGCCTCCAGCGGGTTCGCCGACCGGTTGGCCACCCGCCTGACCTCGTCGCTCGCCAGCGACTCGCGCCAGAAGCCGTAGAGCCTGAGCACCTGGTTGTCGGCGAAGTTGAAGGCGCGCTCCATGCCGCTGATGCACCGGTCCAGCGGGTACTCATCACTACGATTCTTGCCGCCGCCACCATCGCCGGACGCGGAAGCGGACGTGGACCTGGTGTGCCTTCCGTCGCAAGGTTTGCAGCCGGCGAAGTGCGTGACGAACGGCCAGCGGTCGTCGCCGTACCCCGGGTGGTGCTTCTCCATGGCCTCCTCGAACTTGCCGACCAGTCCCGTCCAGACGCCGTGCAGGTAGTACTGGTTCTCTAGGTACACCCTGTCCATCCACCGCTCCTTCTCAGTGATGAGCAGGTGGACGAGCGCGGACTGGTCGTCGGCCTCGCCCGGCGGCCGCTCCGCCAGCGTCGCGGTGAGCAGCCTCCCGGCGTCGTCGCGGGCGCGGCCCCTGGGCGCCATGACGGCCCAGGCGTCGAGCAGGTCCAGCGACCACTGGCAGTTGCGGAGCAGGAAGCTGGCGGTGCTGGCGGCGTCCCAGGACCGGCGCTGGAAGAGGAGGTACGAGTCGCCGCGCACCACGAGGTGCGCGCCCTCGTAGCGCACCAGCGGGAGCTCGAACCCCATGTCGGTGACGAGCGTGCCGGCGTCCAGCCACCACATCCACTCCACCTCCGGGTGCGCCAGCATGAGGCGCCGCAGCAGCGCGAGCTTGGCCCACCCGCCGCCGGCGCCGCTCGACGACGACAGCTCGGGGTCCTCCAGCCGAGACGTGGCGTGCACCATCTCGATGCCGTGGAGGCGGCAGTAGTCAATCCTGTTCTTGGTGGCCCGGAGCAGGAAGTGGTGGCCGGTGGGGCTGGAGCAGGGCCCCGGCGGCGACGCCGTGACCAGCAGCACCCGCGGGCCGCCCCGCGCGTCGCCGGACGGGAACCCCGGGTTCTGGTGCAGCCACCGCCGCCGCTTGGCGTTCCAGCGCGTCACCCGGGGACCCAGGCTGTAGTTCGCCGTCGTCCACGCGGCGCCGCGGTCGTAGTGCTCCCGCGTGGCCGCCGAGGTGCTGCTGGTCATCGTCTGTGTCGGGGTCCGGGTCGGAGTCGTCTCGGGTCTCGCGGAGGATGCGCTCGGTGTCGTCGACAGGTCTGGTGCTGGCCGGGGCCGCGCGATTGTCGGAGGTGCCGGCGATGTACACGAGGCGGCGGCTGACGCCGACGGTGCCGCGGAGGGCGAGGAGCGTGACGAAGGCGCAGAGGAGGGTGATCTTGACGTTGCTGATTATCCGCCTCGTTAGCTTGCTGCCGCCGCTGCCCCGCGGGTGCAGCCGCCACCCTCCAGCCGCCGGCGGACGCATCCGATCGCTCCGTTGCTGGGACGGAGAAGGGTTTTGGGGGGCGTCCATACGTGGAAGCGAGCAGGCAAGATCTTGGTGTTGAGAGCTTGGATACGATAGTCGGTCAGTTCGCTGGTCTGGATTCATCCAGCCAACCGGCTGATCCTTCTCATAGTTTACTATTCATTAAATCAGCCGAATAATATTTTTCTCTCACAATAAACTAGTCGAAATAGTATTTTTCAGCTAAGTTTCAGACCAGCGAACAAGCCAGTCTGCGGTGGAGCGGGAAGTTCGAGGGAGACGAGGAATATGAAATTGCTGGATTGTCAGGCGACCTTGATTGCCGAAGGTTCTGTATTGGACTGGAGTAGAGTATTGTGATGCACAGACACATGCCTGCCACCGGTGATCGGTGATCCGCTCGTCTCGCTGACTAATCATCAATCACACACACGACGGTCGAGTCGAGGTCCCAGCAGAACAAATCGGTGGCTTGGACGTGGACGGGCCTGAAATCGTTGTCTGCCTAAGACCGGCCCAGCAGCCAAGCAAGGGCCGTCTTATGGTGTCAAAAAGAAGATGGGCCCTATCTGAAAAATGGCATCGCACCGTGCTGCAGCTTCAGGTGCCAGAAAGAAGATGGGCCCTATCTGAAAAATGGGCATCGCATCATGCAGAGCTGCTGCGTACAAGATTACAGGCACCCAAGCTCCACACAAAATAAATATCAAGAAGCTATTATACTTCTCTCTCTCTCTCTCTCTATTATAGACAAATCTCATGATTTTCACACTTCGTTTGCTTTTTTTAGAATTTAAAAACCATTCACCCAAAACTTTGCATCACTTTAAAATAGTTGACTTTGATTTATTAGCCTTGTGTGAGCATTTAATATAGGCAAAATAATTCTTTTTGTGAAATTAAAATTAGTCTTAGGACTAAGAACATGTTGCTGCCTACATGCTGATGCATATTTGATTTATATTTGTCTGGTTTTTGTTGCTTGAGAAAAGGTTTTCAAATCCCTTTTGAAAAGCATTTAAACAATTCTGGAAAATAAAAAGGAAAACGGAAAAGCTTTGCTAGTCACTGTTCTTGGCCGTGAGGCCCGTTCTTTCTCCTTTCGGCCTGTTTAGCCCAGCAGCGCCGCAGCCTTCATCTTGGATCAAGCCGATCCAGCAGACGTAGCAGGCCTCCTTCCTCCTCCTTCTTGGGCCGAAGTCGAAGCCCAGCAACCCGCGAGCGCCAGCGGCCGCAGCCCGCCTCCCTTCTCTCTCTGTCTCGCTGGCGAACCGGGCCCGCACGTCAGCGTCGCCTTCTTCCTCCTCCGGCTCGGTGTCGAACCGGACACCGACTGAGCGTCGATCCGCGCGTGGGCGTCCGCGCCACGCCCTGTCCCTATAAAGGCCGAACGACCGCGTCCGCGATGCCCTTTACAACCCTAAGCGACCCGTCGCTTCGCTCTTGAGCCGCAGAGCCGCCGTAACCCTAGCCGCCATTGCCGAGCTTCGTCTGAGCTCGCAATTCGCCGCGGCCGTCGCTCCTTCGCCCTTGTAAGCTAGCATGAAAGCTTCGCCCTGATCCCGTGAGTCTTCCCGAGCCTTTTCCCTGATTCAATTTTGCTCATATCGTGTCGCCGTGGTGTGCAGTTCAACATCGTCCGCCTCCGCGAGCTCATCGTCGTCCACGCTTCGAATCCGACCCCATCTTCGAGCTAGGTGAGACCGCCTCGCTTCCCTCTTTCTTTTGGGACAAGTCCCAAGCCAAATGGTGGCCGGAAACGTCCGGTATGCTTTCACCGGCGAGATTTCTCGCCGCCGCGGCCGCTTCTTCTCCGGCGTCTGCGCAGCCGCCCTCCTCCTCGGACCTAATCCGAACTGTCCATCTTGGATCGGACGGCCCGCAGAGGCCGATACCGCTTCGCGGGGAAAATTTGCTAAAGAGCCCCTGAGCTCTTTAGATTTTGAACCCGCAGTCCAAAGCGTATTCCAGAGAATACGTTTTCTCTTTTGGAAAATGTATTTTTTCATCTAACAGATTCAAAATCAAGTTCCATCTAATTACAGTTTTGCCACTGATTTCAAATGCTTATAAAATGCTCATTTTAACTCCGATTCGATCCGTTCAAATTGCGTTGGATTCGTAATCTCATGATCTACGTGTTAGTGTCCTTGTTAGCTCAGTTCTAGTTTTAAATTTCGAGTTCATGTTTAATGCATTAATAGTTTATAGGAAAACTTGGAAAATCCATATCTTGCTCGTTTTAGATCCGATTTCGGTGAATTTCGTGTCTATGTGATCGTAGTGACGAGTAGAATGTTTTTATACACTTTTCAAATTGTTTTCTTGCTGGTGGTGTATTGTTCTAATTATAGCCCTTTGTTTGCTTCGTGCATGATTGCTTAGATGATTGTATATTGCTGCTTGGTGTTGTTGATCGAGTTCAGACGGTGAGGTTTACGTTGGTGATCAAGAGAACTTCTACGACCAGCAAGACTTTCAGGAGAACTTTGATCAAGGCAAGTATAGCTAAGGACCTTCCTTGTCGTCCTATTCATGATGCTCACTAAAATACATATGCATGTGTCTTCCTTGCTACCTATGGTAGGATTTCCTAGATTTTGAATACTCAATTACCTTGTCACCTTGGGGAGGTTTGCATTGGGTAGTTCTATTGCTAGTGCAACAATCATGATCTTGAAACTTGATTAATGAATATGCTATAAATATAAACAAGATGACTTTTTAGCAACAGAAGGACTTGTCTTGTAACTGATTATCCAGGATTTAACGTACAGCTGTGAGGGCTATATGGCTCTGGCTCTAGTTGCTTGAGAAACCCTTTTCTAGCTAGTTAGAGGTCTGCGAGTTGGGTATAGGACAGCCTCTGTCCTGTTGAGCCTAGCTATGGAAGCGGCCTTTTATATTATTGGAAGGGGGGTTCCTATATCTGATGCCCCTGCGGCCCTGGCTGGTTAGACGAGCTCTTGGGTGGCTTTATATGGTTTCCGGTGTTTTGGGAGTAATTAACCCACTCATTTGGGAAACATGACTCACAGTGAAAGTGTACACCTCTGCGCAGAGTTAACAAACTGGTATACCAGCCGTGCTCATGGATACGAGCGACCTTGGAACACTTACATTAAGGGATGATGACTTTTACTTATTAAGATGATCATTTATGTTAATTGTTTAAGATATTGATCATTCATGTTCATTGATCATGTGTTATGGGATTATTGCTACCTTGATGTTAATAAATGCTAAACTTGATGATGACTTAAATGCTAACCATGATAAACCAAAGGTCGCCTATTTGAGCCTCATGAACCCTTAGTTATCTTGTTAAGTAAATCGACATGTACTTATGCCTTGCTTTATCTTTTATGTTGGAAAAATCCCGGATGGAGTATGAGATCCAGATTGGATTGAAGATTACCGTGATGAGTATTAGGCTTGGTGTCCACCGGTTGGCGCCCCCTGTTGGAGCTTCCGCAAGAGAGTTATCTTAGCGACTATTATATCTATGTTTGAGACTATGTGTTGAATATTTATTCGCTATGTAATAAACATTGTGTTGGTACAATTCACAATTTGTCCACTTATGTGTGTGACTATTCTTGGGGTGCACATAAGACTTTTATACATCCTCTTTTGTTCTTAAAATTGGGTGTGACAAATTGGTATCGAAACCTTTGTTATTTGTAGGGCGTGTAAGCCTAGTTAGAATGATCGTTTTAGCTTCCTTTGCTTCACTTGTTTCATGCTTTCCACCTCAATCTTGTTATTTGCTAAGTTTTGTGCTTCTTTTGTCTTATTCTATTATAAAATCAATTGATTCTATTCTAAATGATTTGAAACTTCTGTAGATGACACGTGACCGCAAGTCTGCCTGCTTGTACGTTGGAGGCTTTCAACCACAGCGTGTTGCGTATGAGCCAATGGAGCCTAGAGAGAATGTCCAGAGGAAGAACTAGAAGAATGAGGTTGGAGAAGAGGTCCATTCTTTGCCAACTCCGATAGCTCAATCCCCAGCACGTGTGGAGGCCATTGACTTGACCAATGATGATGAAGATGAAGTACTCCAGCCACTGCCTCGTATAGGTTGGACTGACAAGTTAAGCATCAAGAAGCCTGATGACAATTCCTTCTACCATGACTTGCTGACAATGATGTTGGAGTGCTATTATCCACACCTGCAAGCCACTCTGGAGTATCACACTACGGAGCACATTCATCCTCTGATTGGTTCATCTTGGGATACTCGGTTGCTGATCAAGACCCCGAATACTCGCAAGATAGATGTAGTTGTCACCCACCGTGTAAGTCGAGCTACCGCGGAAAGAAGCATGGAGGA